AAGAATAGCATCAAAGTCAAGATCATAAATAGCTACACCAGCCCTAGACAGCTCCCCCCAGCGGGGGATCTCAGCGGCCTCCGGAAACTGCTGACGCCAGGCGTCGGTCAGGCGACCAAAGCAGCGGCGGGCTGTGTGGGTGCCTCCACACCTCTCCCCCGCACGGTCGCCGGTGCGAAGAACGTAGGGGCAGGGACCAATCGCACCACCACGCTGACGCAGCAAGTACCACTCACGGAGCTGCTGAGGGGCGGGGACGGTGCGAGAGCGCTGCTGCTGCTGTGGCTGCTGCTGCTGCTGCTGCTGCTGGCGCTGACCACCCCCAGAGCTGCTCCGCTGAGACGAGCCACCCCGACCCCCGCCGCCACCGCCACCCCCGCCTCCACCGCCACCCCCGTCTCCACCGCCACTGCCCCCACCGGCACCCTCACCCCCGCCTCCCCCGCTACCTCCTCCGCCGCCACCTCCGCCTCCACCGCCTCCACTAGTACCTCCACTCCCGCCACCACCTCCACCGCCACCCCCACTCCCCCCGCCACCCCCACTTCCCCCGCCACCGCCCCCTCTAGCTCCACCCGCTCCCTTGCCCCCTTTGCCCTTGCCATTGCGGCGTCTACCGCTGGGGGCAGACGCCGCACCGACCGACTCAAAACCAGCGAGGTTGGCCGCAGCGGCAGAGGCGACAGAGGGCAGCAGGGGGGAAGGAGAACACCCCTCAAAAATGGGGGTGCGAGGGTCACCCCGAGAGGCCCCTACAGCGACGATGCTCTTCTCAGCCGCTAGCAGGGACTCCTCAAGGAGGTCGACAGTGAGGGTGGTGGGACAGACAGAGAGAAACTGGTCCCTAACTACACGAAGGGACTCAGGGAGACGAGTGACGAGAAAGTAGAGAGTGATGTACATGGGAGGAGGGTTTGCGGCGCGGAACTCAGCAGGAAGGGCAGCGCGGTAGCGAGCGTCACTAGCGCGGAGGTGGGTAACGAGGTCAGCAACAGTGGGAAAGGCAGCGAGGTCAGGGAAGAGAAATGGTAGCATGAGGCGGCTAAGCGTAGCGGAGGAAGGGGAGGAGTAGCGTGCAACTACAGCGTCGTACAAGGCCTGAGCGGTCTTGCACTGACTAAAGTGGGCAAGCTCGGAGGAAGGGAGGTGGCGACGCACAGCAAGACGTGCAGCAGCATCGCGGGTCGCCCACTTGGAGCGAACGGCGGGTTCAGCATCAGCAGGAGGGGCAGGGACAGCTCCAGAGACAAAGTCAAAGAGAGAGACCTCATCTATCGCATCACACAGTAAGAACAGCTGCAGGTCTTCAATCCAGACTGCAAAGTCAATGGCTCTACCCTCAGCGTCAAAAGCTAGGACAGTGGGGGTGGCCATGACAGCAGCTGACAGTCTCACCGGGTAGGAAAAATCGGGTAGGTCAGCGGCACTGTAACACAGCCCAGGAGCAGCAGTGGCCTTACAGGAGCAGGAGTGCGGCCCCACTGGCGGCCCGGGCGGCTCGGGCGGCTCGGGCGGCTCGGGCGGCTCGGGCGGTTCAGGCGGCTCGCGCGGCTCGGGTGACGCAGGGGCTCACGGGCGGCGCGGGCGGCTGCACGGGCGGCTCACGGGCGGCTGGGGCTGCTCACGGGCGGCACGGTGGGCGGCTGCACGGGCGGCTGCACGGTGGCGCGGCGGGCGGCTGCACGGTGGCGCGGCGGGCTGCAGCACGGGCAGCGGGGCCGACGGTGGGCCGTAGCGGGGCTGTAGCGGGGCTGGCGGTGGGCTGTAGCGGGGCTGTAGCGAGGCTGTAGCGGGGCCGACGGCGGGCTGTAGCGGGGCCGGCGGCGGGCTGTAGTGGGGCCGACGGCGGGCTGTAGCGGGACCGGCGGCGGGCTTGGGCGGGGCCGACAGCGGGCTGTAGCGGGGCCGGCAGCGGGCTGTAGTGGGGCCGACGGCGGGCTGTAGCGGGGCCGACGGCGGGCTATAGCGGGGCCGACGGCGGGCTGGAGCGGGGCCTACGGCGGGCCGACGAGGTCTAGGCGGGGCCAACGAGGGGCCGTAGCGGGGCCTAGGCGGGCCGACGGGGCCTAAGAGGGGCCGACGCGGGGCCTAAGCGGGGCCGACGAGGGCTAAGCGGGGCCGACTAGGGGCCTAAGCGGGGCCGACGAGGGGCCTAAGCGGGGCCGACGAGGGGCCTAAGCGGGGCCGACGAGGGGCCTAAGCGAGAGCACGGCGGTAAAGGCGACACGGAGGGTCGCGAAAAAAAAAAAAACGCGCGCCTCGGGGCGCGCTTCGGTGGGCCCTAGGAACAGTCCCTAGGAAGGGACCTGCTCTGATTCCATGAGAAAATATGAACGAGAATGAAATGACTATGAACAAAGTGAGTACAAATAGGAAACCCTAAATGTGTTGTACCCCCTATGGGATACCCCACTATAGCCTACAGAAACAAGTAAGCTATATGTTCTGACAGCCCCCGCGGTTTTTTGAAGACTGGTTTTAGCGGTCGAAAGAACTTCGCGTGTAAACGGGCTCTGATTACCAAGTGTGAGGATCTAGGATCGAGCTCAGAAAAGAGAATGTGAATTCAATTAATCACCTGGGTACAACACAAGGCTATATATAGGCTCGACACAAGGCCCCGTAACCAGGTGTTACGCGAAGGTTCCGCGGGTCGCGAAGCGTCCCGAACAAATCCTTTTCGAATTCGGTAGAAGGCAATTTGGTGGCAACCGAAAAGCCAGAATTCGGTGCACGCAACCTAGCTCGGTGCTATAACTATAACAAAATATAGGAAAGCACCTAGCCTAGGAAATCAAGCAATTCATGCATGCATATAATTATCCTATGCTAGAAATAACATAATAAAGTAAAGGCAAGCAAGCATAGCTGGCATAAGCCGTCGTACTCTCACAGCGGTCTACCGCTCGTCTTTTGTTCTCAGCTCCAGTTGTGAGGCTGAGATCTACGCCACAGCCATGGATGCACAAGAATTACGCTACCTCACCTACGTGCTGACTGACTTAGGAGAGCGGCCTCGTTCTCCTCCAGTTCTGTACGTAGACATAAAGGCCGTCATTGCCTTGTGTGAGGAGCACAGACTGGAGCACAGATAGAAGCACATCGCTCTGCTTTACTTCCTAGCTCAAGAGTTGCAGCAGGGTGGTCAGCTTCGTTTTGCTCACGTCGGCACTCGGGCCAACATTGCTCATATATTCACCAAGGCACTTCCGTCTGGTGATCATCAGCGCTTCTGTACAATGTTAGGTTTTGTGCCTGTTTCGTCTCACTTGCTCACTTCATGACTTTGCTTGTACTGTGATCGATATATATACCTGCATGCTTGCTCTTGCTAGGTAGTGATTACTGTACTGTTGTTGTTGCATGTATACCTCTGCATGTGACCTGGCCTTGTGGCCCTTTGCTTGTGCTCGAGTGTGTGGTGACATTGTGATCCACCCCGAGCTTGCTTTGCTTTTCTTGACTGGTCTTGTGACCCTTTGTTCTCCCCACTTTGCCTATAGGGGTGTGTCAAACTGTCTATGTGTTAGTTCTGTGTAGGCTATAGTGGGGTAGCCCATATGGGGTACAACCCAAAGTTAAGGTTAGTACTTGTACCCACATTTCATTCAATGCAATCATCCCTGCTTGCTATCTTGACACCTCCTGCACTCCTGGCAGCACCTCCACCAGCAGCAGCAGTAGCACAAGCAGCAGGGTGGATCGGGTTGGGCAGGGCAACTCGGGCTGGGCGGCGCAGGCAGCAGGGCGCGTGCTGTGCAGGGCAGCAGGGCGCGACGCGCAGGGCAGCAGAGCGCGACGCGCGGGCTGCAGCAGGGCGTGACGCGCGGGCTGCAGCAGGGCGCGATGCGCTGGCTGCAGCAGGGCACGACGCGCGGGGCAGCAGAGCGCGACGCGTGGGCTGCTGTAGGGCGCGGCGCGCAGGGCAGCAGGGCGCGACGTGCAGGCTGCAGCAGGGCGCGACGCGCAGGGCAGCAGGGCGCAAGCTGAAGCAGGACGCGGGGCAGGGCAGGGCGTGCGCGAGGCAGCGCGACGCGGGGCAGGGCAGGGCGTGCGCGGGGCAGAGCAGGGCGTACGCGGGGGAGCGCGACGCGGGGCAGAGCAGGGCGTGCGCGGGGGAGCGCGACGCAAGGCAGGGCCCGCGCTGACAGCGCAGCGCAGGGTAGGGCGTGGGGTAATGCGGTAACAGCAGTTGGTCACTAGGTAATGGTGGGTCTGAAAAATAACTGTCCTACGGACCTACTGCTCTTAAACCATGTCAAAAACTAATGAGCAGGATTGGTTGCATTGACATCAAACTGAGTACAAGTATACGGTAGCCTAAATTGGGTTGTACCCCATATAAGCTACACCCCTACAGCCTACACAACATAAGTAGCATTGAAGTTTGACATAACTTTCTCATTAGCAGTCAGGGCAAGGAACCACCCACTTAGTTTGATGCCTTGCCATTCCTCGCACGTACCGTTGGTTGCAAACATTACCCTAACTTCGGCCCTCTGATTCAGCATCAGGGCTAGAAAGGAACTAAGCTGACAATCCAGATGCATTTCTTTCCACCTCACCCACCACTCTTGGGAGAAAAGGCCAGCCTCTCAAAAGCAAACAAGCTGCTCCTCACAGGTATCGCATCCGCTGCTCATCCACCAGCCCCCCAGCTCGTTTTCCCCAGCGATTCCTCCCACCTTCGGCCTGCTAACCCTGAGACAGCTAGAATTGACACGCACATCTCACTACACCTCAACTCCTGCCTGCCCCCTCACTCAGCGCCAGGGCTGGGGGAACCAAGCTGAACCATCCAGAAGCCCTTTTCTGCGCCTCAAACGTACTCTTGGTAGCAAATGGCAGCCTCTCAAAAGCGAGCACTCTGCTCCTCTCAGGAATCACATCTGCAGCACCAACAACCCCCCTTCTCGCCTTCCCCAGCTATTCCACCCCCGTTCCCCCACCTGGCCTGCTGAACCTGATACCGCTAGACTCGATAGGCAGCTCTCACTACCTCATTCGACGTCAGGGCTGGGAACAAGGCTGAACCATCCAGTCGCCTTCTTCTGTGCCTCACCCGTACTCTTGGGAGCGAAGGGCAGCTTCTCAAAAGCAAGCACGCTGGTCCTCTCAGGAATAGCGTCCGCTCCACCAGCCCCCCTTCTCGCTCTCCCCAACAATTTCCCCTCCCCTTGACCTGATAAGCCTGATTCAGCTAGGCTTGATAAGCAGCTTTCACTGGAAGACCGATGCATAAGGGAGGATTGTTTCTTTCTAGGAGACTGAATCACTCGATCTAAGGGCCTCTGGGACTTGAGCGGGAGAGCAGGCGATGGGGATTCTTGACCGGGTGTAAATGACAGCCCAGAAAAGGATAAATCAGGGTATGAATCCACCCGGCGGTGGAAACTCCCCACGAATTTGTCTGGCTGGATGGGACTGTGAAAGCGCTGTGGTATAGAGTGGTCTGAAGGAGTCGGTATGAGGTGTTTAGAGGTGGGCTGGTTGTGGCTGGGTTGGGTGTAGCTGGGTGAAATGCGGTTCAGATTGTAACTGGGTGGGTTGTAGCTGAAAAGGTTGTTACCGGCTTGGCTGTAGCCTCCATCATTCCAGGGCTGGAAGTCGGGAAAAGATTCCACTTTCCTAAACCCTGGAAATCCAGAGGTTCGGAGCGGTGAAGGGGAGTGCAGAGCAGCAGTGTGCTCCAGCGACAGCAAGTTCGGCACCGAACCTATTTTCCGCATGATGCTTGCTGTTGTATCATGGTGGTGGTGCGGTGAAGAGAAAAGCGGCTCCAGCGTACCTGCTTTCATCCCTGGTTTCATCCCTTGCAGAAATTCCATACTGCTGGAGCGGTCCAGTGTGCAGTTGCTGAGAAGCTTTCCGGAAATAAACGAAGCTTTGAGGGACACAGCTGCGTCGTCGTGAGAGATAGAGTCTAAGCCGAGCTTCCCAGAACTGACAGCTGACTTGAGTGCGTCAGCTGGATACGATACATCCTCATCAGCTGGATAAGCCGGGTAAGCATCAGCATCTCCAAGCTTGGCTGCACCAGCCCTTGCAGTACGAGACACCGCAATGCCAGCACCATTTGCGGCTCTGCCAGTCTTTCCAGCAAGCAGGGATGCTTTGAATGAGAGCATGGGGTCATGAGAGACTGGGTCGGCGGCCGTAGCTGCGGTTCGCTCAGTGGTGGTTGAGGGCTTGTATTGAACCCCTGGTGTCGCGTGGCTGGAGTGGCGTGGCATAGGCTCTGCTGCTGCTGCTGCTGCTGCTGCTTCAGCTGCCGCTGGATTGGCTCTGCTAGCAGCAGTGCTATCGCTCAGCTGCTGACACAGCAGAGCCACCTCAAGGATCCCGTAAGGTGAAGGGGAAGCAGGGGCAGCGTTTACAGCTGTGGCAGCAGCTTCAAAGTGACTTGCATGGCCTGTCGTCAAGCTTGCTTCGTAAGAAGGGCTAGACGGGCTCGGAATGTAAGAGGAGTTTGATATGTTTGAAACTGTGCCTGCCTTATCTCCACCCGCTGTAGCTGCTACTTTGGCTGTTGCCGCAGCACCAGCTGCAGCCGCCACCGCCGCCGCCGCCGCCGCCGCCGCTGCTGTTGCCGCTGTTTTCGTTGCAACACCAACCCCTGAGGCAGCAACGCCCAAGTTCGGACGGAACTGGGAGTTCTCCCAAGCCTGCCAGCTGGCTGTAGCAGCAGTGATGGCAGCTGCTACAGCCTGGCAGCGGATACGCTGCAGCTGTGAGTGCCAGTCGGAGTGGGAGGAGGCGAGGGCGCGGCGAGAGGCTTCTGCTGATGCGGTGGCTGCTGCAAGAGAGATGGATTGGGAGCAGAGGGATTGCTGGGAGGGGAGAGAAGGTGGGATTGGGGAGGGTTGGGGAAGGGATTTTATTTTCAAAGTTTAGTGAATATGCTGATGCAGTGGCTGCTGCAAGAAAGAGATGGATCAGGATCAGAGGAATTGATGGGCAGGGGGAAGGTGGGATTGGGGAGGGGGAGGGGGGGCCTGAGGAGAAGGCAGGAGCGGGAAGGAGGGAGGGAGGGATGAAATGAGGAGGAAGGAGGGAGGAGGGATGAAATGAGGAGGAAGGAGGGAGGAGGGATGAAATGAGGAGGAAGGAGGGAGGAGGGAGGCAGTGAGGGAGGGAGAGAGAGAGATAGAGAGCAAGGTAGGATGGGAGGGTGAAAAAGAGTAAGGAAAGAGAGAAGAATGGGGAGAGGAAGAGAGGAATTAGATGAAAGGGGATGAGAAGGCAGTGGGAGGGGGACACGAATACAAAGCACAAGAAGCAAGAGAAAAAGGAAGGATGAAAGAAAGAAAGAAAGAACGAAAGAAAGAAGGAAAAACAAGCAAACAAACAAACCAGAAGTCAAGCTGACAAGGAGATCTGGAAGAACAATAATGCCCAAGAACAAAAGCAAGCGATGGTTGAAAAACGCATGATTCAAATCAGGTTTCGAGAATAACAATGAAAGCACAGCATCTCCTTCTAACCATCTCCATCTACCCAAACACCTCCACTCTACATGCGCCTATCCGACAATACGACCCGATCGGCCTGGATCCATCCTTTTGAGTGATAAGGCATGGCAAGACAGCATGCGGGACGCTAAAAACTGCGAGAATATGTTGTCTTGTCGAGCAAGCGATTGCTCTGCAAGGTAACACTTGCGGGAGTCTCTTGCTGCAGTCCTCACTCTCAGCACGAAGGCTGCAGAAAGGACACAGTGCACGACACAAAAAAAGGGAAAAATGCAGGAAGGACAAAAAAAAAAGGGGGGGACTCAGAACCGGGAATACAGTCTAAAAAAGTTTTGTGTTTTCGCAGTTTCGATATTCGCCAAACTTATTTCTACCGTAACCGATCAGTACCGCACACACTAACCAGACTGCACAACCAAAGGTCTCAAACTTCAAGAGCGAGAGAGGGGAGGACTGAGAAAGAGGGGGCGGGCAGGAAAAAGTCCACCGTCTCACCTGCAGAACCTGGATCTGCGATTTGTCCCGAGCGCTTATTATCTCGGCGGCTTTACGTCCACTAATCAGCTGCTGTTCCAGCTGTGCTGCTCTCGCCCTCTCTGCTGCAGCAGCCGCCCTGGCCGCATCTGCTGCAGCCCTGGCGGATCTGAGCTCTGCTTCCAGCTCCGCCACTCGCCTTGCCAACTCACTGCTGTTTCCCACAACGTGCTGCTGGCTCTGCTTGCAGGGGCATCCATTGGAACCGCTCTGCACCGCACTGGGAGTAGGCGAGCCAGTGGACGAAGCAGGGTTGCTGCCAGGGCCGGGAGTTGGAGTTGGGGCCGAATGGACAGTGGGAGATGGAGTTGCAGCCAAAGGGACGGTAGGAGATGGAGCTGAAGCAGCCTGCCCCCCCACAAGGGCGCGGATCCAAGGCGACGCTCCTGCATGCGCTGCTGCTGGAGCAGGTGCTGCTGCTGCTGCTGCTGCTACTGGAGGCGAAGCCTTCTGCTGTGCCTGCTGTGGTTGTCGCTGCTGCTGCGGCTGGGCGGCAGCAGATACTGGAGCTTTGACTGCCTTGGTCAGGGCGGTTTTGCTCTTTGACTGCTGCTGCTGCTGCTGTGTGAGGCTCGGTGAAGCAGCAGGGGGGCTCTTCTTCTGTGCGGCCCTTGCAGCATAAGAGGCATTCGCAGGGCCTTCACTCTTCTTAAGCAGTGCTGCTGTTGAATCTGATGCTGTTGCCTCGCCTGCAGCCTTCCTGCTGTAGCTCCCCCCAGACAGCCACCCGCTCACTTCACTCACTCTGTTTGGCGCCTTCTCACCGCTCCCAACTGGAATAAACCCATCATTACCATCCGCAACCCCAGCACCAGACCCAACCCCGCCACTAACCCTGCCACCACTCCCACCAGAGCCCTTCTTGCTAGCAGCCGCCATGATCTCAAAAATATCCTCTGTGTCATACTCACTCTCCTCATCCTCCCCCTCCCCTTCCCCCTCCTCGTCTTCCGCAGTGCTCATACCAGAGCTATCAGTGGTCTGACCAAAGTCCATAACCGAACTCACAGGGGACATACTAGGTCGGCTAGATGACTCTGGGGTCTTCACCACCAGATTCTGCACATCGCCCACCAAACCTGCTGAATCCACCGGACCTGCTGCCGAGCCTGCCGCCGAGCCTGGCCCTTCTGCCAGCCCCTGCAGTTTGCTGGTCAGGGAGGCGATTCCCTTGGGGGTTCGGCTCCGGCCTTTCCCTGCCTTCTTTTTGTCCTTGCCGCTCTTGGCGCCTGCTGCTGCGGGTGTGTTAGCCTTGGAGGATGCGGCATCAGAAGCATCATCAGCGAACAGCTCGAGGAGTTCCAGTTGCCGCCTCGCCACCTCCTCTTCCAACGCCGTCCATTTCTCCTCCTGCAGGCAACCATGCCCCATACACAGAGACACACACAGACGCATAGATGCATAGAACGACAGATGATTGGTTTGAGTTAGCTGGGTAGTTTTGAGGGGCCTCAGAAAGAGAGTTCCAGTTACGCCTCGCGACCTCCTCTTCCAGAGCCGTCCACTTCTCCTCCTGCACTCATTCCCGATGCTGCGATGCACACACACACACACACACACACACACACACACACATGAGACGCAAACAGGCCATTGGTTGGGTTGGATGATAATAGTTCAACAGCCTCACTACTGCCTCCTATCGCGGTGTCCATGTCTAGGACAGCGGATCCCCTCCAGAAGTAAGAGGTCAAAGAAACCAGCAAAAACAACGTCGATTACTCGCGGGAGAGTGCTGCAGGATCAACAACACGAATCCCAGCAGGGACAAAGAGCCTTTGGGTGTTGTTTGAGTCAGCTCACAATCAAGACTGCACAGCTGGATAACCCCTCACAACGATCGCAGCAAAAGAGAAGAGGCCTTGGATGTCGTTTGAGTTGTCTCAAAATTAAGACTGCACAACAGGATCAACCAGCCACTCACCAGGATGGCAGCAGACGCGGAGCCCTTGGGTGCGTCCATGAGAGCTGTGCGGCCCTTCTTGCACCTCTTAGTCATACTCGCACCCTTGGCACATAGCAGCTCACTGCAGACGGACACGAGTAGACGATAGAACATGCAAGAGCAAGGAGAGAAAAAAGGGTTTTGTTTGGTCATGCTCACGCCCTTGGCACACACCAGCTGATGGCAGTAGATTACAGCTCATGTCTGTGCCTACCTCCCCCTCGAACCTGCCAACTGGAGTCCCCCACAAGAGAGGCAGTCACATGCAGTCTGCAGGATTGAGGCTAGCACCGTGGTGAAGTGCAGACAAGTTTTCGTTATCCACAGCACTGACGTCCGCCCCTACTGCCAGAAGCGCCTTGTTTGGAAAAAGTGACTACATGACATCGGTCTATCGAGGATCCGGACTCACACGCAGTCAGATGCATCAAGGCGAGCGCCGTGGTGCAAGGCGGACAAACCCCTGGGGCGCGGTTCTCTTCGGGGCTACCTTGGCCAGGCTTGACCTGGTCCGGGGTTACGACGGAATCGTACAAGCCAACCAAAAATCCGGACTCACACGCAGTCAGCAGCATCAAGGCGAGCGCCGTGGTGCAAGGCGGACAAACCCTCCCCATCCACAGCACTGACATCTGCCCCTCCGGCCAGCAGCGCCTCTGTTGCCGGCAGTGAGTTGCGCCCCACTGCGTGCATCAGAGCTGTCTTGCCCTCTGACGTGCGTGCATTCACGTCCGCCCCCGCCTGCTCAAGAGGAGGGGAAGAGGGGCCAGGGAAGGGAGAGAAAGAGAGGTGATGACAGGTTGTTCTGTTCTGCCACCCTTCACTGAGTCACTGGGTTGACTCTCTCCGGCCAGCAGCGCTCTGTTGCCGGCAGTGAGTTGCGCCCCACTGCGTGCATCAGAGCTGTCTTGCCCTCTGACGTGCGTGCATTCACGTCCGCCCCCGCCTGCTTGGGAGAGGGAAGAAAGGGAGACAGGGAGAGGTGGAGAAAGTGAGAAGGGGAGAGGTGGAGAAAGGGAGAGGTGGAGAAAGTGAGAGGGAGAGGTGGAGAAAGTGAGAAAGGGAGAGGTGGAGAAAGGGAGAGGTGGAGAAAGTGAGAGGGAGAGGTGGAGAAAGAGAGAGGTGGAGAAAGGGAGAAATGGAGAGGTGGAGAAAGGGAGAAATGGAGAGGTGGAGAAAGGGAGAGGTGGAGAAAGGGAGAAGAGGAGAGGTGGAGAAAGGGAGAGGTGGAGAAAGGGAGAGGTGGAGAAAGGGAGAAATGGAGAGGTGGAGAAAGGGAGAGGTGGAGAAAGGGAGAAATGGAGAGATGATAACTGGTTGTTCTGTTGTTCTGCCACTCTCCAGAGTCACTGCGCTGCCTCCCTCCAGCCAGCAGCGCCTCTGTTGCCAGCACTGTGTTGTGCCCCACTACGTGCATCAGCACTGTCTTGCCCTCCGAGAGAGGTAGGAAGGGGGGAGGAAAGACATGTACTGACTAACTGTTCGTCGGGGTGATTGACAGCTAGCGAGTGAATGCAGCGGTCCCAGAGCCGTTCCCTGACTCACAGCTCTATGTCTAGAGTCGATTCATTTCTCACAGCTCGTGTCCTCCAAAGCCCCCCTAAAGCGTGTGAACGGCTGCAACGCTCACGTGAACGAGCAGGTGGACGCAGTGTGCTTGGCGGCCCTTGGCAGCAGCAATAAGGGGCATGGCATGACGCATGGATGCAAAGCCCAGCGTGCTTTCTTGATGACCCTTACGTCTTGTCTCAATACATCCTGTTTCCTTTCAGAGGCCTAGAAAAGCTCACCTGGACGAGCAGGCGGATGCAGCATGCGTGGCGGCCCTCTGCGGCAGCAATGAGGGGCGTGACGCCTCCATGCGACCGCGCGTCCACAGCGGCTCCGTGGCGCACGAGGGCTGAGAGAGCCTCCTTATGCCCGTTGTATGCCTGTGAAACGGGTGGAAGAGAGACGTGAGTCACGTTAAGATTCTGTGTTACCTCGGGAGTCATAGCAGCAGCTCGAGCGCTGAGAGAGCCTCCTCATGCCCGTTGTACGCCTGTGAAACGGGTGGAAGAGAGACGTGTGCCATGTTAGGCTTCTGAGTTGACTCAGAAGGCACAAAGGCAAACTCCGAGACAAACAGTCAATCAAAGCAGAGATAAGTATCAGAGTCAGCTTTTAGTTTGTTTACTATAGTGGACTTACAGCTGCAATAAGGGGCGTCACTCCCACTTTGTCCCGGGCATCAGGATGAGCGCCAGCTTCTAGCAGGAGCTGCACGCAGCTGCACAACACACACACGCGTTGGGGAGGCATTGGGAGGGAGCAATGCGGTGGGGTGTTAAAGTGGAACACTAGTGGAGTACTGTGGGGAGCATTAGGCTGAGCGCCAGCTTCAAGCAGGAGCTGCACGCAGCTGCATGAGACACACACGCAGAGGGGCACAGCGAGGGTGCAGAGGGGAAGAATCAGGACACATGCAGGGACGCACCACAGAGGAGCATTGAGTGTTCATTCAGGGAGCATTGGGGGAGGTTGGAAGAGCAGTTGGGGAGAATTGGGGACAACAGGGACGCATTGAGGAGGAACTGGTGGGAGCATTAAGAATGCAATGAATCGTGTCAAGTCAGGTGCTTTCCGCTCTTTTTCATAACTTGGTCCGTGAATCGTGTGTGTGTGTGTGTGTGTGGGTGTGTGTGTGTGTGTGTGTGTGTGTGTGTGTGTGTGTGTGAGTGTGTGTGTGTGTGTGCGTGTGTGTGTGCGTGTGTGTGTGCGTGTGTGTCTCTCTCTGTGTGTCTGTCAGTCAGTGCTTTCTTTTATTTCCTGAGTTACTAGAACGGCAAACAGGTTCAAGCGTTCCCCGCAGTCCCTCTTACCTGGCGAAGCCACTGTCAGCAGCGGCCAGCAGGGGCGTCGCTCCCTCCCCGTCCACAGCTTCAACGGACGCTCCAGATTTGAGCAGCGTCTCGGCGATGCCTACGTGGCCATTTCGGCAGGCCGCTGCAAGATGAAGAAGAGAGAGGCGGGTGAGTGGTTGAGTGGTGAAAGAGCGAGTGAGTGGTTGAGGGAAGAGAGAGGCGGGAAAGTGGTTGAGTGATGAGCGAGGCGTGTGAGTGGTTGGTGGAGGGAAGTGAATAGTGGGTGAGTGGTTGAGTCAAGAGAGAAGCGGGTGAGAGATTGAGAGAGCAATGAACCAGGACCAAAACATTAAGCGGGAGAGAAGGGACTGACAATCAAGAACCGAGACGAAATCACGTAAGGCAAGACGTCATGACAATGGCCCTGAATTTCTACCAACTAAGCGCAATCCACTGCACCTGAGAAAGCGTTCGCGAGAGAAGCGGCACGCCCAGCGATCCATGTAACATCCGACCTCGCTTCCAATTTCGCCAGCGCCTTCGCCACGCCGTCAGCCTCCCCCGCCTGCGCCGCAACCAGCAGCTCGTCCAACGGAGTCCCAACAGCCGGCTTCGTCCCATCATCTGTAGCAGAACCACCGCTGCTTTCCACAGAGTTGCCACCAATCGCATTGTGCTGTCTCTCTTTCGCCGCCTGGTGCTCTTTCCACTCTGCGCTGCCCAGGAGAGTGATTGTCGACTCCATGTCGCCGCGAGGGACGGAGGAGCCGTCGTGACGCATGCCAGTGTCTCGGATTTCCACGGCGAGTTCCCGCGGGGTGCGTCCGATCTTGTCTTTGACGAACGGGTTAGCTCCTGTGCGACACAGTGGGTGTGTGTGCAAGTTCAGCAAAATTTGTTCCTCGTGTTTCCGTCACTGGGTGTGAAGGTTTGACAAGCACGTGTGGGTTCTGGCAGGAAAAGTTTGGGTTCGACAGAAAACGCAACTGATTGGGGGTTGAAAGGAGGGGTCGACTGGAGGAAAGACTCACCTGCTTTGAGAAGGAGCTCGACTGATTGACTGCGACCGTAGCCGGCTGCCATGTGGAGAGGAGTGAACCCCTCGTTGTCCCGTACGTTGACCTCAGCGCCTGTACCAGCAAAACAAGTCAGTTGTTTCAGGACCTGTGATCGCCAAGTCCTTTATTTACAATTACCGAGTGCACTGCGCTGAGCAAGCAGGTGATTTTTTACCTGATTCTAGCAGCACAATGGCACATTCTGTAGATGCCATTCCGCAGGAGAAATGGAGCGCCGATCGGCCTTTGTCATCGGTCCCGTTGATGCTTGGTTGAACCAGAGGTGCAGTCTTGAGTGGTCTGGACTCCAGTGCAGAGACTGCCAGAATAAATAAACGCAGAGGTATGTTATTCTAGGTTTTGTCGCTGCTTTGAATTCTAGCTGACAATGCAGACTGGTTGGTGTTCAAATAAAGAAGAGTAACGCACCATTTCCGAGGCCAAGTGCTGGCGACATGACGCCTGAAGCTCTACCTCCAGACGGATTCTTGCTGCTCTGTTTCTTGATTTCTAGGATCGTTCGTCTCAGCTTGCGAATCTGCATCTTCTTCGCTGCTTCTATGAGGTTCGCTACGAGATCAGAACCATCCGTCCCTGGCTGTTGGGCCTTCTGTCGGACGACAACGGGCTTGAGAAGGGCACGGCCGTCCTTCGCGGTCTTCGCAGCCATGAATTCGGTCGACATGTAGAATTTAAAAGCTATCTGACGTCTTGGACGGCAACAGCCAATTCTTGCAATTCAGGAACCTCACGACCGGAACGAATGTAACACTAGACAAGTGCAATGCCTTCTGAACCAGCAGCAGTGCAAGCTGGTCCGCAAACTGGAAGCTGGTCAAGTCCGCTGAGGCACCATCAACAAACCTCAGCAGCTGAGGCGCTTCAGCAACACCAATCACCCTGACAACAAATCCAGGAATTTGAACGTCCTATACTGTTTCTGTCCGTTACAAGCAACCCTAATGAATCACTCTCTTCGCTCTGCTCTGTTCCTCACTGCTATGCTGCTCCGTTCTCATGAGCTGTTAGGAACTATTGCAATGCTCAGTCCTAATGCATTGCAATGAGCTGTCAAAAAAGACCCACTCCACAACATCAGCCTCAGAGTGAGGTGCTTTACCACACTGAAACACACTTGAACGTACCGAATTGTACTGCACCAGGTGTTAGAAGGGAATCATGGCTGTGCACATGAATGCAAGAGGGGGTGGGGTCATGGGTTGGATGGGATGAGATGCTTGCCCAAAGCCAGAAACTGGGGATCCAGGATTCTGGCTGAGTCAATGAGGCGTTGAATTCTTCTCTGATTTGTCCAGGTAAGGGGAAAAATCCCCCTCGAGCTACTGGCACGCCACGTGGAATAGCATTGGTTTTGCTTTTACTGTTTCTCATCCCACTTGGAAGCGAGTGACGTGGTCGCTCCTCACCCAACGGCTCGGTGCCTGATTGGCGGAACGAAAACAGCACACCTTTGGACGAATTTGTTTGGAGACAGTCGAGCCTGAATTGGCGCGTGCGAAATTTCGCGTTGTGAGAGGCTGCGAGCAACCCACGGATTTCCGATGGCTTTTGAATCTTCCGGCCAATCGCAATCAAGTGGTACTTGAGACCGATCGACAGGTCAGCAAAAAGCGACCTCGGGGACATCCTTTAATGCGGTCTCTTTAGGATTCCCGCAATCTGTTCTCTGTACAGTGAATAGTGGGTACTAAATGGTAACCTAAAATAACAAATCACAACGCAATGTTGCTACATAAGATATTGCTAATGGCTTGTTAAACTAGTGAAGTATCCAGTCCAGTCCAATACCAAACACGATAAAAATAAGGTTTCACCAGTCACGGTCACACTCCCAGAAAGAGCCTACAGTTGTAGTGCCGACTCACTCTCCTGTTGCCCAAACAAGTTCCGAGCTGCACTCACCACCACTTGACCACTACGAGCTGACAGCGACGACAATGCTGCAGTGGCCTTCTGCCCCGGGCCCATATTCAAAGGCACCGACGAAAACTCTGACGCGTTACCGTTACCATCTAAGTCCACATCACCATCCACCCCCATCATCCCTCCCCCACTTGCACTGAACAATGCATTGCCACCACTCATACCACCAGACCCTTGCCTGTGCATGCTCGGTGGTGTATACCCCTGTAACATGCCGTTACCACTTCCACTCTGTGGTAACCCTATTCCTGGAGACATTCCCACCACTGCTCCTGGTCCACTGCCCAGAATCCCACCTGCCCCAGATATACCTCCCCCTGCCCCTGCTGACCCACTCCAGAGCTCCCCTGAAATGCCTGGCACTGCTGACCCTCCACCCATCATCCCTGCGGAGACCGAACCACCTGAGAAACCACCTGAAGCACCTGTGCCGGCACCTGAAAACCCCCCTGTGCCGCCCATTCCATGTGCACCAGCCATGCCAGTGCCGAGACCAGGGATGCCAGGCAGGTAAGGGGATGGGAGGCTGTGCATAGGATCCCTATGGGTCTGGGCTGCTGCTGCAATAAATGGCAGCTCCCCTCCTCCTCCGCCCCCCACTCCTGCTCCCGCTGCTCCTCCGTCTGCCCCTGCTCTTGTTCCCACAGACGCAGCAGCAGCTGTAGCAGACGCTGCTACAGCCACCGACGCCGTCCCAGCAAGCCCAACTGGGTTGTGGTCTGACATTCGGTAACGGTAGCTCTCTCCTGCCTGCTGCTGCGATCCCGCAACCGAAAACCCCAGCGCTACAGCCGGAGGTGCTGCTACAACAGGAGATGCCACATATTGCGCTACAGCCTGGGACGATTCCCTCTGAGGGCTAGTGCTGCTTCTCCACCTGCCCGCATTCGGAGACAAAACATATCCGCCTGCCCCGCCGCCCAGCCCGCCTCCAGAAGCCCGGGGCGACACGGGCTGAAAATATTTCGGCGGGCTGCCCGGAGCGGCGGAAAAGGCGGGGTAGCCGGGGAAGCGGGGCGGGCTGGAGGGAGAAGGGGAGTAGAAGGAGGAGCGGGGGGAGGAGGGGTGGGATGAGGATCGCTGATGTGCCTGTCTGTCCTGCTGATGCTGTGTCTGCTGGTGCATCTGCTGCTGTTGCTGCTGCTGCTGCAAAAGCTCCTGGCGGTGCTGCTGGTGGTCTGGGTGGTGCTGGTTGAATCTAGAGAGGTCCTGCTTCCCCTGGTGCTGGCTGGCTGATTGTGACTGTAACGAGGGGTCGGAGGGCATCTCTCCACGATCCCTTGATTCGGACTCCTTGAGTAGAAAGTCAATCCAGAGGTCCGTGAAGGTCTGCAGATAGGGGCGAAAGTGAAGTGGGAAGGGACGGGAAAAGGTAAGAAGGGAGTGAATCTGTGTAATCCCTGGATTCGGATCCCCTCAGGAAGAAGTCGATCCAGAGGTCCGTGAAGGCCTGCAAACGGGGGGGGATGAGAATCGGAAAGTGCAGAGGGAAGGGAGAGGATAAAGTAAGAAGGCTGTGATTCCTTGATTCGGATTCCTTGAGAAGGAAGTCCATCCAGAGGTCAGTGAAGGTCTGCAGGGGAGAAGGGGTTGGGAGAGTGTGGAAGAAATGAGGGTGGAGGGATGCAGTAGGAGGGTTTGTTTGCAGCTACAGAATTCCCACCTGAATAGGGAAGTTTCTAAGAAAAACACTGAACAGAGAAAGGAAGCCTTAAAACTACTTGTAGTGCCAAACAAACCCTTGCACCGTGCCAGACAACCCACTCACCATGCCAAACAACTCTGACAATGCATAGAACCGCCACTCACTGTGCTGTCGTCTGCAATGCTTGCCAGGGCGCCAGTGCTTCCCCCCACTCCCCCCACGCTCGCCCCGCCTCCAAAAAGTCCCCCCACCAGCCTCCCCGGAAGCCCAAACACGCCCCTCACCCCCCCTGCTGCTCCTCCTCCCACCCCCATGTGCCCTGCTGCTGCCAACCCCACCCGCTGCTTGTCCTCCTCTGAGAATCCGAGGATGCGAGCCATGAGGTCTAGCACCTGTGGTAGTTGGGTAGGGAACAGGGCAGCACAAAGAGGTGTGCACAGGATAGATCTTCAAGGCGTCTACTCCCACCCACCCCCGTGTGGCCTGCTGTTTCCCAACCCACCCGCAGCTTGTCCTCCTCTGAGAATCCAAGGATGCGAGCCATGAGGTCTAGCACCTGTGGTAGTTGGGTAGGGAACAGGGCAGCACAAAGAGGTGTGCACAGGATAGATCTTCAAGGCGTCTACTCCCACCCACCCCCGTGTGGCCTGCTGTTTCCCAACCCCACCCGCTGCTTGTCCTCCTCTGAGAATCCAAGGATGCGAGCCATGAGGTCTAGCACCTGAGAGAGTGTGGTTACAAGTTAACAGGGCAACAGAGCCATCTTGAAAGGGAGAAACGTGGGAACAGGAACGAAATTATCAGCCATGAGTACAGAACGGGGAACCGAGTCAGCCTAAAACGGATGCCATAAATGCATATATATATATGTGTGTGTATATGTATATATGTATACATGTATATATCTATATATGTATATATGTATATATATAAATGAAAGTCACCTGGAAATAACCTTCTGAAAAGGCTGCACCACTCACCTCCTTGCTGTGCTTGCGCTGAAAGTAAGTCACCAGAAGCTTGATCACGATTCTCCTGCTCCACAAGCATACATTTTCACACCAAAAAAGTCAAAAACAGGTAGTGAGGGCAGACGTGAGGTGAAGTTATTTTCTAAGTCGACACAAGCTCCACATGTACAGTACAGTTTCACACTACATAGGTCAAAGCAAGAGGGGTGAGGGAGGATGGACGGATGTGAGTCCGCATCAGAAAACATTACGTCGAGCCACAAAACATGCTGCTCCCAAATCCATCCCCTTTATAAGCCTATCCTCACGATCTCTGCTTCTCCCCGGCCGACAGCGAAGTTAGAGTCAGAATACATTCTGTTGAGCCCCACCATAGCATGCTCCAACAAAACATATCCCTGTTATAAGGCAGCACTCTACACTATCCGCTTCTCACCTGTCTACAGTGAAGTCAGAATCAGAAGACATTCTGTTGAGCCGCACCATGCACTGCTCCAGAGCCTGGCGGACCTTAGACAGCTCGTTCCCTGCCCTCTGCTCCCCCACCACCGCTGCTGCTCTCCCCCTCTCTGCCTCTGCTGCTCTCGCCTCTGCTGCTGCTACCTCCTCCGCCCTCCTGCTGGCAAGGTCCTTCACCAACTGGTGACACCGGCAACGAAGGGAAGACGGGAGGGAAAAAGGAGGGGGAGACGAAAGCGGAAGAGAGGAAGTGGACGTGGAAGGGAAGGGGGAAGGGCGCAGAAGAAGGAGGCATTAGGCAGAGTCTGGCGAATCTTTGACAGCTCATTTCCTGCCCTATGCTCCCCCGCCACCGCTGCTGCTGCCCTCTCCCTCTCTGCTTCCGCTGCTCTCGTCTCTGCTGCTTCTACCTCATCCGCCCTCCGGCTGGCAAGTTCCTTTGCCAACTGGTAACCACGGGAAGAAGGGAAAGAAGTGGAAGAAGGGGAAGAAAATCGGGAAAAACGCAAGGGGAAGGGAAGGGGAGGGGTAAAAAAGGAGCAGGAAGGGAAGCGGGGAGGGGAGGGATGCATTGGCATTGGCGATAAGGGAAGGGGAGAGAGGAAAAAGGGGAGGGAGGAAAAAGGGGAGGGAGGAGAGAAGGGAAGGGAGGAAAAAGGAGAGGGAGGATAGAAGGGGAGGGAGGATAGAAGGGGAGGGAGGATAGAAGGGGAGGGAGGAGGTGGCACCGACTGACCTGCAGCTGCTCAGCTAGCTTGGTGGTGTCGTCCCGTGCTGCCGCCAGCCCTGCTGCCAAGCGGTTTGGTGTTGTCATCCCTTGTGGCTCAGACCTCTAAGAGAACGCTCTGCAGAGCAGCAAGCACTGACTGACCTGCAGCTGCTCAGCTAGCTTGGTGTTGTCGTCCCGTGCTGCCGCCAGCTCTGCTGCCAGCCGGTTCTGCACGTCCGGAGAGAGAGCACACCAAAACAAGACACACAGGAAACAGGCAAGTGATTTTTGAGTACTAAAACACTGTTTTGCACATCCAAATGAGGAACACAACAAAAAGAGAAATACAGACAGACAGGCAACGGATTCAGACGGGATGCGAGAGCGCACCGAAGGCACCAAAACAGGAAATACATAAAGACATTCGATTCAGATGGATGGGACTAGGGCACACCTGAGCCTCAGCTTCGGCGTAGAACTGCCCCAGAGCTGCCTGCAGGTTGTTCAACTCCTGATCCCGAGCCTCAAGTTCGGCGCGAAGCACCTGTCTTTCCCTCTCCGCCTCCTCCCTATCCCTCTCCCTCCGCTCTCCCTCCTCCTCCACCTCCTTTGCTCGGCTCTCCGCCTCTTTCCTGGCAGTTTCTGTTGCGGCGCGTGCGTCTGCTAAAGCAGACTGCAGGGCTGCCAGCTCGCGGGATTTGTCCTGTAGCTGGGCCTCGAGGGATTTGATTTGGTCGGTTTCTTGCTCCACCTTGGCTGACTCGGCATTTTCCTGAAGAAAAAAGAGGGGAAAGAAGGGGGAAAGAAGGGGGGGAAGTTGTCGGAGGGGTGGAGTGGTGGGGGTTGGGGGGACAGATAGGAGGGGCAAAACGGTGCATATGGGAGGTTTGTACCTCACCTTCACTGATTAGGCAGCTTCTTGACAGAATAGTATGGGTGCGGGCACTGGGAGGAGGAGAGGGGAGGAGGAGAGGGGAGGAAGGGAGGGGAAAGAAGGGAGGGGAAAGAAGGAACGAAGGGGGTGCGGATACAGGATGTTCATGCTTCACCTTTACTGATTGTTGAGGTCGCAGCTCCAAACCCCATCTTTCACCCCTTCTCGTCTTTCCAGTATTATTGTCATCGATAGCAATCCAAACAGGTGACCCGCCCTCGCCATCCCACCCCACACCCCACCACTCAGCGAGAGGCACTTACCAGCTCCAGCAGGTGCTGTTTCAGCCTCGCTAGTTCTCGTTTTGCCTTGTCCCTCTCGCCCTTCATTGCATTCAACACCCCCTCTAACTCCCCTCTTTGCGCCACTGCTGCCTCCTCCATCTCCCTTCTCCTCGCCTCTGCTTCCTTCTCTGCTTCTGCTCTCCTCTCCTCTGCCTCCCTCTCTGCAGCTCTCACTGCCACTGCTATCCTTCTCACTGCCTGCTCTTCCATTGCCACCACCGCAGATGTTGCCTTCGCCTCTGCTGCTTCCTCCGCTTCTTTCCTCCTTGCCTCTGCTGCTTTTGCCTGGCTCTCTGCTGCTTTCGCCTGGGCCTCTGCTGCTTTCACCTGGGCCTCTGCTGCTTTCACCTGACGGTCGCACTCTTCCCTGAGCTGTTGGAGGGAGGTCTGGAAGGAGGCGTGCTGGGAGGAGAGGGCTTGCTCTGCTGCCTGAAGTTTCGCCTTTACTTGGGATAGCTGCCATGGTGGGTGGGAGGGGAGGCGCATAGGGGAGGAAGGGAGGAGAGAGACAGAGAGGAAGGGAGGTCTGAAAGGAGGTGCGTTGGTTGGAGAAAAGGGGTTGCTCTGCTGCTTGGAGCTTGGCCTTTACTTGCGATAGCTGCGATGGTGGGAGGGGAGGCGCATAGGGGAGGAAGGGAGGAGAGAGGCAGAGAGGAAGGGAGGTATGAAAGGAGGTGCGTTGATTGGAGAAAAGGGGTTGCTCTGCTGCTTGCATTTTTGCCTTTATCTGTGATAGCTGTAATAGTGGGGAGGGGCAGAGAGAGGAGGGGCATAGGGGAGGGCAAAGCGGGAGGCACGGAGGAGTGTTGCGGGGTTCTTAAGCTGACTCATAAGCCTCAAAAGTAGTGCAAGCATGCTCACACGACCGCCACCATTCCCATGCAAGGCACACACCTCGTCTGACTGAGCTGATTCTTGAGGCGCCTATTTTCTTTTTCACCTGAAGAAACCACTCACTCACACGACATCCACCATTGCTGATTTTTTAGGCGAATAAATTGATAGTAATCTCAAGAAATCACTCACTCACACGACCTCCACCATTCCCATGCAAGGTACACACCTCTTCTGACATTATTGTGAAGATGACAAAAGTGACACAAGCATACTCACACGACCTCCACCACTCCCATAAAAGGCACACACCTCTTCTGACTGAGCTGGTTCTTGAGGCGCCTTTTTTCTTTGTTACCTGAAGAAACCACTCGCTCACACGACCTCCACCATTCCCAGGCAAGGTACACACCTCTTCTGTCTGAGCTGCAGCCGCAGCCGCCGGGGCAGCAGCAGAGGCAGCCCGAAGCTGAGCCCCAGCTTCGGCAGCCCGAGCCTCGGCGAGCTGGCGCGAGAGCTGCTGCAGTTCGGCCTGGGGGGTGCCGAAAAGGGAGAGGGGGTTGGAAAGAGAGAAGGTCGGAGGAGAGAGGGTGAGAGGAGAGAGGGGTAAGAGGAGAGAGGGTAGGAGAGCAGGTTGAGAGAGGAGAGGGTGGGAGGGGAGAGGGGTGAGAGGAGATGGAAATTGCGAGTTGAGGGGAAACAGTAGAGAAGAAGAAACGGTTCGGTGTCATCCTTTCTAGAAATATGGACAGAGAGAATAAGTAGTGGTGAAATCATGAGGTTTTGTCTCCTCTAAGTGACAAACACAGGGGAATGAAGAGAAAGGGTCTTTTTCTCGTTTCTTTTTCCCTTTTTTTTTTCCTAGTAGAAATCCTTGTGTCAGCTGACGTCATCACTACCTGCCACGAGGCTTTGGAGGCGTCAGCAGCAGCTACTGCCTGCGCCAGTTGAGCCTCCACCTGCCTCAGCGCCCCCTCCGCCTGCTGCCGCGCTGCTGCCTCCTCTTTCATCTTCTCATGTGCCTCTGCCAAGTCGTTGAACAACTGGGGTGGGGCCAAGGAGGGGTTGGTGGGAAGGAAGGATATTAGGAATTCCCCACCTGCCTATCATAAATTCCCCACCTGCCTCAGTGCCCCCTCCGCCTGCTGCCGGGCTGCCGCCTCCCCTTTGATCTTCTCATGCGCCTCTGCCAAGTCGGTGAACAACTGGGGTGGGGGGAGGTGAGGGGTTGGTGGGTGAGGGGGGTTGGGTGGATTAAGGGTTAGTGTGACGGAGAAAAAGCATTTTACAATGGACCTGGCTGCCCCCCTCTGCCTCGGCTTTCAGGATGGGCGGCTGACTCGACCTTCTGACTCGAACTTCTGCCTCGACCTTCTGACTTGACCTTCTGAATCGACCTTCTGAATCGACCTTCTGAATCGACCTTCTGAATCGACCTTCTGAATCGACCTTCTGAATCGACCTTCTGAATCGACCTTCTGACTCGACCTTCTGACTTGACCTTCTGAATCGACCTTCTGAATCGACCTTCTGACTCGACCTTCTGACTTGACCTTCTGAATCGACCAGCAAGAATAGACAATTTCTTGACTTGGTTCAGTCAGAATCCTCCCCAAAATGCCTCTGTGCAAGCATGTGGCTGTGACTCACTTGCTGCCTCTCGGCTTTGAGAATACTGCACTCCTGCACAGCTGAATCCCACCCCTCTCGACCGCCTGCCGTGATGCCAGGAAGGGACACGAGACGGAGGAAACGAGGTTGCAGAGAGAGGAAAGGGTGATGGGAGGAAGTGGTGTGTCAGGGCGACAAAGGGGAAGGACTGGGAGGAAAGAGGGAGTTGGAGGCTGCCGGAAAAGAGAGGATGGTAGCTGCAGCGGGTTCAGGCGAGGTGTGTTGTGGTGATGTGCGTTCTGTGTGGTGCACAAAGGTGCAGTGATGTTCGGTGGGTTGCAGCGAGGGTCGGTGAGACCCCGTGCGTGCGATGAGCAGAAACGGAGGGGCGTTCTCACCTGTCATCTGCTGCGCCAGCTTCCTCGCAGCTTCCCTTTCTCTCTCCATCTCACCCCTCACCACTCTCAACTCCCCTTCCAGCCTCTGCTTCTCCTCCCTTAACCTCACCGCCTCTCCCCCTCTCTCCCCCGCCAGCCATCTTTCCTGCTCTGCACCTGGTGCTGATGCTAATCCGAATTCTGCTGACTTGACCCCAGCGGCTGCTGCTAACGCCACTGCAGATGCCACTCCTGGTGCTGATGATGGTGCCGCCGCTGCTACTTCTGCTGTTACAGGCGCTTGTGCAGAGGCACTTGGTTCACTAAAGAAGGGAGGGGTGCCAGTGGGAGGTCCACCTGGGGCAGGCTTGACTGGGAGAGGGGCAGACGATGGAGAGCCATGAGAGGGAGGTCCAAACGGGAGAGGTCCCACCGGGGGAGGTGAATTGCGGGCAGGTCTGATAGGCGGAGGGCCATTTCGCGGAGGCCCATGTGGGGGAGGTCCGTGGGGGGGAGGTCCGTGTGGGGGAGGTCCGTGGGGGGGACGGCCAGCAGCAGATGCAGCAGGTCTCGGTTGTGGGGGTTGTTGTGGGTGCGACTGTTTCAACTCCTCCTGCTGCTGCTGCTGCTGCTGCTGCTGCTGCTGCTGCTGCTGCTGCTGCTGCTGCCGATGCAGCTCCTGCGGTTGTCCTTTCACTCCTCCAGAGCTGGCTTGAAACAGGGGCGCGCCAAAGGGGTTTCCCTTTCCTCCCGCAGGTGCGTTTCCCGCAGAGTAGGGCGCGTTTCCGGCAGTGGTGAGTGGTGGTTGAGTAGGGTGCTGCAGAGGAGAGATTCCATGTGGAACCTGGTTCGGACCTCCAATGTGACTACTTTGAATGTGACTACTCGGATTGGCACGGTGTGAGTCCTCAGCAGCAACATCCCGAGCCCCTGAATTAGGGTCCGAAGGAGAATCCTGAGACGTATCAGGCAAAAGCCTCGTTACAGTAGAGTCCGGGGTGCCTTGCAGGCGAAAGGGGAGAGGGCCTCGTTTGGCCCGGAACCCTGATGCTGTTTGCCCTGGCCATTGCAGCTGCGACGGGTCCTGTGACACAGCGAAAGGTGATTACCAACTGGCGAATTAGGTCGTGCGAGAGACAGCTGGGGTTGAAGCAAAATTCGAGAGACAGAGATTCTGGCATACAAGCATTGATACATGAACGAAACGGTAATACGAACGGAATGGTACAAACACTTACCTCGGGACCCGCTTTGCCGCGCCGCTCCGGGGTAGAGTCAGCAGAGGAACCTTCGGAGTAGGAGTCCGAAGACGAGTGGTGAGACGGCGAGCCGGGCCCACTGCCGAACAGGCCAGGGTCGAGCTCTTCCGCGGTGTCGAGAACGTCCGACGCGATCGCCGAGATGTTGTTCTTCAGGTTTCGGAATGTGCTCCACATGATGCTAACGGATCTATTCTTGAGGCGCCTCAAAATTGGAGCTCCTCCGCGGTGTCAAGAACGTCCGACGCGATCGCCGAGATGTTGTTCTTTAGGTTTCGAAATGTGATCCGCATGATGCTAACGGATCTATTGGCATCACACCATGCGAAGAGTCTTCTAACGATTTTATTGTTTAGTTTGTCTAGCTACAGCATGGGAATAGACAAAGTGTTGATGGTGTTGAATTGACGTAAATAGTGGAGGTTGTACTTCACTCTTGAGCCTTTTTTTTTCTGAGCGAGTGAATACTTGCTCACAAACGCTGGGATAGGTTCCTGAAACGAGCTTCCCAATGAGAAGGCAAGTAGGTTTGGCACCGTAAAGTTCCGCACTGGAATTTGCGATTTGGCTGACACGAGTGCTGGGCTCATGAGTAACGTTTGGCCTAAAAGCTAATTTAGAAGCACGAGACTGCTAAGGCACGCCACAATAGAACCTAGAAACTGACGGAAACTAGTCGCGACAGCTGCATCCATAGGTTAGGGTGTTCCCAAGACCGTTGGCAGGACAACATCTTCGTGTAGCTTGGTTCGGCCGAACAGCAAAAAGGGATCAAACCTACTGGTTCGGATGCTTTCTGACTGGTTTGGCAGCTGACAACAACCAAACTACCTTGTGTCAGTGTACTCGTTTCAAAGAGCTCGACATACGAACAGCTACGAAGCTTGTGTGGAGATCTGCTCCAACGTAAGGCATTTCACCAGTAGACTTCCAGAATCTAGATCCAATAACTTGTGGTCGGGGGGTGCCCCACATCGTTTTGCCAAACCTCGTGCCTCGGTGTATCGACGTCGAACCTATACGCTAGGTTCATCATGCAGTCAGGAGTGCATACAGTACAACCAGTCTGGCCCCCTGGCATGTGTTTCCCCGCTGACCCTACACTACGGTTCAGTAGGTTTTTATCGTGGTAATATTTACTTCCTAGGGAAAACCGCTTTAGACCGCAACGCGCCAAAGTTGAACTGGGAATCAACTCCCAGATACCCCATTTTCCTCATTTACTTGCAGTATCAAAGCTATTACTAAGGCGTGGTAGAGCGTAGTTATACCTGGAAGTCTCACTCGGCGCTAGACATCTCGACAGAGATTCTCGTGCATCTTGCCGCAGATTAGGGCCAGACATGAGGGGCCTATCGCTCAGCAGCATTACAGCATGCCTTCTGCTCGCCGTCTTCCTGCCTTTTCTCTCCGAAGGTGATATGCCGCCAATACGCGAAAGAAAGACGTTTTTTTGCTCGAGGTGTTGAGAGTCAGGGAGATCTGATATATAATCGTCATGCAGCCACCTCGTTCGCGTCACGCTCTGAGATGGTATTTCAATTTAGCGGAAAGCATGCGCGTGTCAGCAAGATCCCACTTTGTGAATCTCTGACCTCACTTTTACAGAGATTTATTTGTGCCTTGATACCATCATTTCTTTCTTCACGTTGCGCATTCTCCAACCGTTTCTAGCGTTTTCCGTCGTTAGGTGTGCCATATCGTACCTTCCCCTTCCGCTCCTGCCGATTCCCTACGTGCCTACACCAGCCGCGGTGCTTCGGCTTCAGCACATCAAGATCTTCCAGACGCATGACCTTCCCTTCTGGTCGTCATTCATTACTTCGAATGCCAACCCCCAAGCGCCAGCTCGACGCATTGATAATAGATCATCGCATTGATTTCACTCCAGGTTCCTTCCCCGTCCATCCCTGCGGATTCCCTGTGCGTCCACTCCACACCAGCTGCCGTCGTACGGCTTCAGCGCGTCAAGATCTTCCAGACGCATGACCTTCCTTCTGGACGTCATCCGTGTAATTTCAATGGGAGGGAGAGCCCAAACGCCAGCTCAACGCGTTTATTATAACACTCGTCTTTTATCCCGATTCCCTGTGTTTCCAATCCAAATCAGCTGCCGTGGTGCGGCTTCAGCGCATCAAGATCTTCCAAACTCATGACTTACCCTTTTGGAAGCCGTCAGTGTACTTCCAGTGCGAGGGAGAGCCCAAGCACCAGCTAGACGGTGTCGTGGAAGCAAATGTGGACTACAATTTCACTCTGCATGAGCCCTTCCAGGTGGGTGCTCTGAAGGAGTTCTTCCGGGTGGGTGCTCCTCAGGAGTTCTTTCAGGTGGGGGTACTCTGCAGGAGTTCTTCCAGGTGGGTGCTCTGCAGGAGTTCTTCCATGTAGGTGCTCTGCAGGATCTCTTTTCAGGTGGGCACTCTGCAGGAGTTCTTTCAGGTCGGTCCTCGGTGTGAGCCCAAGCGGACGATGTGTTTGACCGCTTCTCCTTGTATCACCTGGACTTCGCTCCTGCCCCATCCGGCCGCCTCACTCATCAACCTGTGCCTCTTGCCCTGTCTGCAGCCCTTGACGGAGCTCACAGAGGGCCACTGCAAGCAGTGCGGTTTCTACGACGCGGACACGTTGACAGAGGACGACGCGTTCGACAAGTTTAACCTGTGTCCCCTGGACTTCGCTCCCGCCCCATCTGGCCGCCTCACTCGCCTCGTGGAGAACGAGCTGAATGTGACGTTTGTCTGCCCTCATTGCAACTCTGACAGAACCTCACGGTCCTCTGGAGGTACGTACACTTCCTCTTCATCTTGTTGGCAATGCTGTTTTAGAAGTGAACAAAGAAAAGTGCCACCACCTGGTTGAAGGATTGGAAATGTGTAGCTTCTCTCTTGCTACTTGGCCATTGGAAGTAAGCCAGGGTATGCGTTCTGGTGTGGTATGGTGGGTGTATGCACTTTAAGAGTTCGAATAACAGGTTCAGCAATTATGTGCCAAGTGCCTGGCTTCACAGTTTTCCTCCACCAGTTGACTTTGCAGTTAGAGGGCGTACAGGAATTGTGTTTTACCAGAAGTAGCTGCTTAAATTTAGCCGAATCTGTGCCAGATAGCTCCAAAGCAGGATTGTGACATGTTCACAGTAAATTTGTGAACAGTTGTTTGGTGTGCTGTTTCAGTTTTGTTCGCTTGCTGCCCCTTTCTTCCCCTTAATTTCTAACTCCACAGATGAGTTTGAGGGCACAGACACCAACAATGTGAATCTACTTAACATTTTTCTCATAGTGATTGCCGTGGTTACTGGCATCAGCTGCCTCACTGGCCTTCTTGCCTTTTGGCTGAAATCTGGAGCATGGCCACTCTTCAGACGACGGATGGACAGCGACACAGCGAAGTTTATGGAGATGTTCGACGAGGAGGATGAGCTCCTAGATGGAGATGATGAAAGTGGCGGAGATGTTGAAATGGGAGAAGCAGCTGCATCAGGCCGACATGGACCTCTTTACCGGGACAACTAAGCTTTGTGCTGAGTTTCCCAGCCAGCGAAACTAGTTGTCACTTCGCTGTTCCTGTGCCTATATTATATATTTTGTAGTAAATTCTTTAGTGTAAGTGAATCGTGTTTTCAATAACGCAACACTTAGACCACTACTTTCGCGTGGCTGAAACTGTCTGACCAGCCATATGTGGCTTCGATGCCGCGTCACCGATCACCCTCTCCAGCAGCAGACTCCACATCACGAGTCGCAATTCGCGGCATGGCGAGGAATCACGGTTCAGTGGAATCAAACCGCCAGAGACATTCGCATCTTGGGAATCTCCCACAAACCCAGCTCAAGCCTGGACTGAACAATGACGACGAGGTGCTGGTTCCAGTGAACCTGGAATATCCCTCCCAGTCATGCAGGAAATTGACCAGCCAAACTGACTAACTCTGCCTGGGCGTGTGCTTTGCGGACGCGGATATTAGATGCTTGAGAGCTTTTAGACCACTCACTCAGGCGGCTGTCGACCGATCGACTTGATCGTGACTGCTGTTTAGCTTATGCCAATTGACTGTTCGTGGGGAACTCGTTTTGGTGTGTTTGTCCACGATTTCACTGTCTAAGTTTTACAGGCTCCCTGTTGTACCAAGCTTGAGAACAACTAAACGTCTGGCTCTTCGTGTCTGACTTTCTCTCCGCTGATCACCATGCCAGCTGGAATGGAAGAGAGCCTCTCACCTCCGCCTTCTCCGCTGAAGAGGGACCGGGTGACTGAAGTGTACAAGCCCGGTTCGTTTGATCCGGCCTCGCATTTCTACCCTCGAGTGCTCAATGCACAGATTCACCCTCTTGTGAGGTCGTTTCTTGGGCTTGGAAACGAGAGGATCGCCAAGAGATATGTTCACCTTCATCCTGCTGCAAAACCAGAGGCGGTTCAAGAGGCGCTTTCATATGCGTGCAAGTGAGTCGTCGTAGAAATTTGAGACCATTTTCGACAATTTAATACGTCATATATATTGAACATTTCTTTTTTTTTGTGTTCAGGTACTTTCAGTGGGGCGGAGCTGACTTGTTCTCTGTGACAACCGAGAAGGGTCAGAAGCGATTCGTCGTCATTGAGACGAACTCATGTCCGTCAGGACAGAAGTCCATGCCCATGGAAAACGAAGACCTTGAGCACGCCGGCTATAAGACTCTTTTAGAAAAGGCATTCCTTCCAGTGCTGAATTCTGGCAAATGGAATGGAGAGACGATTCCAGAGGGAATTCTGGCTGTTCTGTACGATAAGAATCCAATGGAAGCATCAGGATACGCAGCAGCATTGGCTGATCTCACGGGAGAAGCAGTGTACCTCACTCCTTGCTACGCAGATGAATTAGAGCCAAAATGGAGGTGGCGTTCAGACGGAATCTTGGAGATCAACATCGCTGGAGCCATTCAGAAGGCTCAAAAGGAGGAAGTACCGATTGTTACAGGATCTAAGGTGTCACGCACGAGCTCTTCGTCCAGTGAAGGGAAGACGGAAACCTCCACATTCCAAGCTGTAGAGCCACAGTGGCGACAGGTCAGAGGTGCGATCAGATACGTGACCCAACGGCCATGGACGAGGATACCTCCCGTGACGCGGACTATGATTTTCAACCCTGTCCTTGCTTGTTTGGCTGGCGGACGCAACAAGGCAGTGGGAGCTAAGGCGTATGATCTTCACAACGCAGCGCTGGCTTCAACTGGACTCTCTATCCTTACCCCTGAGACCATTTGGGATGTCGCCAAGCCAGAGATTCCCCTCTGGGTCGGCAGAATGGGTGGCCTGGCTGTAGTGAAGGTTCCTTATGCTAACGCAGGTCAGGGAGTGTGGACAATCACAAACGATGAGGAGCTGAAGGAGTTCATGGCGATTGAGCAGCGCTATGACCGGTTCATTGTTCAGGTACCTCAAGGGCGAGAAGCTCACTTATTTGGGCTCATGTGTCTCATTCACTGCATATTATTTTTGGATGGAATTTATAGTTTCCTGCAGGTAACTCAAATCTGTTCCCGTTGTTGCAGGCCTTGATTGGGAACAACGGCTGGAGTTCCCAAAGTGTGAGTGGCAGGTTGTACCACGTGGGGACCATTCCGACAAGCAAAGGGAACATCTACGCCTCTGACCTGAGGATGATGGTGGGGTCCGGAGCAGGTGGCTTCTTTCCAGTGGCCATCTATGCACGGAGGGCCAAGCTTCCACTTGCTGAGAAGCTTGAGAGTGGGATTCATTCGTGGGACATGCTTGGAACCAACCTCTCATACAAGGTACCACCAATTTCTGACTTTGTTGGGAACGCTTACGCAGCAAGTTGCCTCCCGTACTGCAGCTGACCTGTCATTGTGAATCTGGTTTGCAGAATCCGGATGGGACTTGGGGAACGGAGACAGACAGGCTGCTGCTGATGGACAGCCGGGACTTCAACAGGCTTGGTGTTGGTGTGGATGATTTGATTGAGGCCTACATGCAGGTCAAATCCGTTCAAATCAGAACTCCATCAATTTGGGATTTAGTTTTGTTCTGACTCCTGTTTCCTTCTAATTTCAGACTATCCTGGCAGTGACTGCTATCGACCGGCTTTGTGGGAAGCTAATAACACCCAAGGTAGGAAACTGCTGCTGTGGTTTCTTTAGGTTAGTGACTGTTTGAGATCTGGAAGCTAACTGATCTGATGTTTTCATTTTACAGGGAAATTTCGGCCTGAAGCTTTTCGGATCTCTGAACCCTGACGTCAAGCTCTTGGACGAGCTGTATACGCTTCCATTGCATTCTCTTCCTGTGGAAGGTACCAGCGAGTCATCTTGTCTGGTGAAGCGTACAGCAGATCAAGCAACGGAGCAAGAAGATGCTCTTGCACAAGAGCTTCAGCTGGAGGTCACAGTTGCAGCTCCTCCTGTAAGTGACATGCTCTGGGTTTTCCTGAGGGAGATCAGGGATGCATTGTTAAATGTGGTCCTGATACATCTGCATCTGTCTTTGCAGGGAAAGAGAGGGAGGGTTCTCTGAAGGCCCTCTTTTGTTTTCTTTCGTTTGATGCAACCTCACAGTTTTGGCTTCATACGGAATATTCTTTCAGTTGCCATGCCACACATAGCTACATCACTCATAATGACACACTGGACGTATGGAATTAGTGTTGTATCATAATTCCCCTTATGTAAATCTTCATACAATTTTGACAATTATATTTCAAGCCACCAGCTACGGTACTGGTAATGGCATGCCTCTGTTGTGGTTTTCACAAACAGCAAAATGAAATTGTATATTGACAGCAAAACCTTTGGAAGCTGTTTTTAACACGTTTCATTGAATACATCGTTGGCCACTGATGAATATATTTTTTTATTCCCATACTGAAGCCGTAACGTCCTTTTTTGGTGCACCTTTCTGTTGTTACTCAAGTACCAAGTTCTGTGTACTTGTAAAGAACCCGCTTATGACTACCGTCGTAGTGAAACGCTTTATGGGAGGAAACCCTGCTCTTAGCACAAATAACACGGTTCCACCTCTCACGGCCGTCGTCCTCACCACGATCGTCGGGGTTGCGCGATCAACTTTCGGCCGTAGTTGTTCGCGAAGGTCGCGATGAAGCACCGCAACGCGTTTCGCAAGCTGGGTCGCGCGAGCAGCCATCGATGGGGATTGCTCCGGTGAGCTGTAGCACGGAGTTAGTACACTCTAGCTTGCGGTGACGCGGTTTGCGGGATAGCTGGATTTCGATGTGAATTGCTCTGGTGAGGTGTAAAACGGAGGTGGTACAATGTAGCTTGTGCTGACGCGGTATGCAGGATACTCGGATCTTTGTGGGGGGTTACGCTGGGGGTGAGCCGTGGGGCGCAGTTTTGAGACGTCTCAAAACTGGTGGGAGTTGCGCTGCCAGCCCACGGCTCACCGGTGGTGAGCCGTGGGCGAAGGTGACCCCCTACATTTATGTTGAGGTGCTTTTCTCTAATCCGCTCAAAAGTAGGTGGTGTAGTTTAGCTTGTCGTAACGTGCTATGGAACAGGCGCGGCATGACGCCGTATGGGGCTTGGGAAGTAGCGCTAGTCACATCTCCCGTTGTGGCTGTGCGTTACGGCCAACGAAGGGGAGTGAGGGCGGGGAGGCGTAACTTCCGTTACCGCACGCGGCAGTGCGAGCTCGTTTCACCGTGTGCTTGTGTTTGCGACCTTTTTTTCCCTTGGTGCCCGTTTCACCTCGTTTCTCCCGTAGGTGCCCACTTCCCCTCCCTCTCTCCCCCACTCCCCCCCTCCCCCCCATTCTTTCCACCTCTCCCTTTTTCTCCCTTTTTCCCCCTCCGCACCATCATAATGACTTAGCTCATACAGCACAAGCAGATCAATATTCCCTTCCCCCCTCTCTCTCCCCCAGCTCTTACTCTTCTTCTCCGCAGCACCATTGAGCATGAGCGGATCAAAACCCCCCCTTCCCACCTCCCCCTCCCCCTCCACTCTCCACCTCCCACTCCTTCCTCCCCCTCTCCTCTTCTCCTTCTCCCCCTTCCCCCCCGCAGCACCATGGTGTCTCACTCATTTTGCACGAGCGGATTGAGACCCAACCTTCCCCTCTCCGCCTCTTCCCCCACCCTCGTTCCCCCCATCCCTCCCCCTCCGTCCTTTCTTCTTCCCCACTCAACTCCCCCCTCTCTCGTCTACCTCCCCCTCCCCACCCCATCCCCTCCCCCTCCAACCCCTGCAGCACCATGGTGTCTTAGCTTATTAAACACGAGCGGATTGAAATTACTTCTCCCCCTCCGCCTCTTCCCCCAACCTCATTCCCCCCATCCCTTTCTCCCCCTCCGCCCCTACTCCTTTCCCGCTTTCCCCCCTTGCATCCACCTCAACCTTCCCCCAATCCCTCCCCTCCCCCTGCACCCCCCCGCAGCACCATGGTGTCTCAGCTGATTCAACACGAGCGGACTGAAATTACTCCTCCCCCCGCCTTCTCTCCTCCATCACCTCATCTCTCCCCTCCCCCTCCACCCTGGCAACCCCCCGCAGCACCATGGTGTCTCAGCTTATTCAGCACGAGCGGATTGAAACCACAGTCGCCAAGGTAGGCAATAAAGCCCATATCTTTTCGTTGTGCGCATTCATTCTTGCATGCCTTTAGAACCTGTACCGTGCAAGCATGCATTATTGAAGCGCCTGAAATGGTCAATTCCGCAGTCGCCAAGGCTTCCGCTTATCCATTCAAGCAGATGAAATCTGTGCAATCATGCCTATTTCTCCTTCATGTCTTTCTGCTTCCCCCCTCCTTTCTCCCCTGCTTAACCCCTCCTCCCCCCCCCCCCCCCCGCCCTTTTTTCGCCTCCCCCTATCTCTCCAACACTCGATAACCCCTGCTTCTCGTCCCGTGTCCCCCGTGTCCCCGCCTCTCCCCTCAACCTGCCAGGTCAAGGAGTTGAGGTCCGGTGCGGACCGCCTGGTCATTCCGCGTCTCCCCCTCCTGACTCTTGCCCCCTCTCCCGCCCCCTTCTACCTCCTGCTGCTTCCTGAATCCTTTCTTTCCCCCCTGCCTCGGCCTCTCCCACAACCTGCCAGGCCAAGGAATCGAGATCTGTTGCGGACCGAATGGTCTCTCTTGCAAAAGAAGTGTGCTACGGTTGCGCTATCTTTGCGCTATGGCTGTGGTATTTACCCCATCCCTGTTTCTCTCCCCCATTGTCTCTCTGCCGCCTGCCCCCGCCTCTCCCCACTACCTACCGTACCAGGCTAAGGAGTTGAGGTCTGTTGCGGACCGAATGGTCACTCTTGCAAAGGAGGTGCGTGATATTAGTGTTGTTGAGTTATCACACACGCAACACAACCACATGGCTGTGCTGTGCTGTGGTTTCTCGCACTATGGTTGCTGCATGCAATGCGTACGTGCTATGGTCTGGTCCCCCTACCCTGGAAACATTTGTCCCTTCCCCTTGCCATCTTTCCCCGCTTCTTAATCTTTGCAGGGCACGCTGCAATCACGCAGAGAAGCTGCAGCAGTGGTGAGAGGGAAGGACGTGCTGCAGAAGCTTTTCTACGACCTGTCAGAGAGATACAAGTGAGTGTGTTTGTAGCGAGAACAGAGTGTGTATGTGCAAACACTGCACTGTGATTTAGCTCGTCTTAGAACTTGACGTTTCAAAGTACAATGGTTTTGATTGATATGTTCCTGCACCCTTACACGTAGAGGAGCTCCCCTCTGTCCCGTACATGCTATTGCTCCCACTCCCCCCCCACCCCACCACCTTTTGATTTGTTTGTTTGCTTGTTTTTTTTATATGTGAATTCCCTTTTCTCCAGGGATAGAGCAGGAGGCTACACTCGAGTGCTTCCAACTAGAACACGCGTCGGGGATGCAGCCCCTATGGCTTATATCGAGTACGAATTATTCACTCCTTACATTTCAATCCTTTCGTCGAATCTCTTATCTTATTTTTCTTTCTGACTTCCATATCCCATTAAGGTTTCTCGGTAAGGCTTACATGCTGTTTCATCATGTCACAAGCTTTCAATCCCAGTCCACATCTCGGGAGCTGTTTGTTTTCCTCCACCTCTCCTCTCCCTCTGCAGCTTTTTGTTCCCAAAGCTCCCACTCCACCTTTCCCCCTTTCGATGCTCCTTTCTCTGCCTCACCCCATACCCTCCCGAAAGGGGGCATCGAAAGTCCATCCGTCTGCTGCACATGGACCGTCCAGACGAGCTTCGTCGCATCCGACCTCTCATCAATTCCCCTCAGGAGAAATTAAGCTCCCGGGTGCTGTCTCTTCCTGTGTGTCTCTCTCTCTCTGCCTCTTCCCACCTCCCTCTCTCTGCCTCTTCCCACCTCCCTCTCTCTGCCTCTTCCCACCTCCCTCTCTCTGCCTCTTCCCACCTCCCTCTCTCTGCCTCTTCCCACCTCCCTCTCTCTGCCTCTTCCCACCTCCCTCTCTCTGCCTCTTCCCACCTCCCTCTCTCTGTCTCTTCCCACCTCCCTCTCTCTGTCTCTTCCCACCTCCCTCTCTCTGTCTCGTCCTACGCGTGTCTCCATGCCTCCGCAGGTACATCGACCAACCTTCACTTCACCTCACCTTCATTTCTTTCCTGTCTCTCTCTCTCTCTCTCTCTCTCTCTCTCTCTCTCTCTCTCTCTCTCTCTCTCTCTCTCTCTCTCTCTCTCTCTCTCTCTCTCTCTCAAACGGTCCTTGTATTAAACCCGCCTCTGTCTCTTCTTGCCCCACTCCCCCCTCCCAGGTACATCGATCAACCCGATGAGCTTCACCGCAGCCGCCCCCCTTCAGTCCCTCCACCTCCCTCCAAGCCCCAGGCCCCCTAGGTGCTCCCCTCCCTCAGGAGACACTGGCCCCCCTAATGCTCTGTCTCTCTGTGTCCCTCACTCTATCCTCCTTTTCCCCTTCCCTCCCTCCTTCCTCTTCCCTCCAGGTACATTGACCGGCCAGATGAGCTTCGTCGCAGCAGGCCCCCATCGATTCCACCACCTCCATCTGAGCCGAGGCCCCCTGGGTGCTCTTTGCCCTCAGAAGACACTGCCTTCACCCCCCCCCCCCCCCCCCCCCCCCCCCCCCTCTCCCCCTCCCTCCTCCTCCCACCGTCTCTCTGTGTCACTCTCTCGTCCATGCCCCACCACCAGGTACATTGACCGACCCGATGAGCTTCGTCGCAGCCGGCCCCCATCGATTCCACCGCCCCCCTCTGAGCCCCAGGCCCCCTGGGTGCTCTCCTCTCTCAGGAGACACTGGGCTCCCCCCGCTGCTTCGGTACCACCTACTCCTGATAATGCTTCTGCCTCTGCTTCTGCTGCTGGAGAGAAATCGGGTCATCCACCTAGCAGCTCCTAGAAGCAGCTCCTAGAAGCAGCTCCTAAAAGCCCCCAGCCTCCGAGCCCCAGGCCCACTGGGTGCTGTTCGCTCTCAGGAAACACTGGGCTACTCCTGCTGCTGCTGCTGCTGCTGCTGCTGCTGCTGCTGCTGCTGCTGCTGCTGCTGCTGCTGTTGCTTCTGCTGCTGCTGATTTTGGTGCCCGCTATGCTGCTGGAACCACTCCTGCTCCCTCTTCTTCCTCTTCTTCTGCTGCTGAAAGCTCCAAAAGGAGTTGGTAGTACCACCCGAGGAAGGGCCCCAACCCTGTTATCTTCCATCCCCTTCATGTGCACCTCATTGAATCAAAGTTCATGCTAATAATTGTGTTCACCTCAAGCCGTGCAAGCAAATATGTTAGTTTTGGGTTCTGATAACATGCAGTTGCTGTTGCAATGAAGAATTAACTCAGGACCTCTGTTCTGTTATCAAGGTAAAACACCCTGAATCTCTGATTGAGAGGGTGCTGCTGATCAGCCGTGAAGATTTTTGAAATTAATAAACTGTAACTTCGATATGATGCTCGGGCATTTCAGGAGTGTTTCTGCCACAAACGAGTTCGCCAAAGGTGATCACAAAATTAAACCTCTTCGCCGCAGCGATGCCAGCCGCGTGGCGGACAACCCAGCCCAGCCCAGCAGCCGCAAAAACACAATGAGCCATCTTGACCGATGAGAATCAAACCGAACCAAGCCCTTATCAGCACACCACCCTGTTCCGTAGGATCTGAGCAGCTTCTTTCTCAGCGTTTTTCTTCGCATGAGTAAACGAGACCTGATTATGGCATTATGTAAACTTTTTAAAGTGTGTAACACTTTTCAAAAATTGTGTATTGTGAAAGTGTAGCGATTGCCAACGCAGCAAAGGCAGCGTCGCATCGCTACTCGCCCTTTTTTGGCTACGAAAGAGGGGGTTGAGGCCATTCGGCCTCACCCACGTTCTTCTTTTCAATTTCGAAGTTTGAGTTTTCAATCTCGTCCAGTCTGACGAAGACACTGTCACTCCCTCACTTTACTGGCCCGACGACTCTACTTGCGGATATTTTTAAACACAACATCGGAGCCATGGCGCCGGCGAACAACACTGCTAATCGCGAGGGCAACAAGGCGACAGACACTCCCGTCGCCCCGAATGCCAACATTCCGCCCGGGACAGCCGCCCGTCGCCCGAAACGGGCTGCCGAGGAGTCACGCGAGGACCTCGCCACTGGCGTCAAGGTCCTGCTGGGCGGAGGCTCCCCGGCGCCTTCCGAGGAGCCTTCCGCTCCTCGCGCGGCTTCCAGGCAGCCGCGCGAAGTGGCGAAAAAGACAACCGCTGACGTGGCTGTCTTGACCACCACCTCGAGCCCCTCAGGCGCGCGTGTCAAGCAGCACGCGCCAGCACCCTCGAGCCACACGCCAGCCACGACCGACCCCAACCCCCCGTTCAGCCCGGCGCAAATGCAAGCACTACTGGCGCTGTTACAGCAGCACGCGCCTGTTACGGCGGGGACTTCAAAAAATGAGGACGCTACAACTTCTGCAAAATATGATAAGAAGAAAGAAGAACCTCCCGCCGTTGCACCGCGCCCTCCCAAGACTGCCCGCGTCGAGAAGGACCCGGCCCCCGCTCCCGTCGAAGATGACAGCGACGAGTCAGACGACGCCGATGGTGAGGCCTCCCTTCGCCGTCACAACCCAATTTTCACTCATGCCTCTTGCTCTACGCTTCCCCCCCTCAACCCCGCAACCGCAAACTCCACGGTCAACCGCAAGGGCGTACGCGACCAGGCAGAGGTTTTCTCTGCTATCCAGGCCCACCTAAGGCACATTGAGTTCAAGCTCCAGCAAGGCGATGCGCAAGGCGCTCGCACCAACATTGCTCAAATCGAGTCGCTCATTAACAAGCGATTTGAGGTGCTCTTGGTGGCGGACGAGGCGGGCTTCGAGGCGGCCGATCGCTTCCAGCTCTACCAGTCCAAGAGCGTGCTGACCTCCCGTTCGTAAAAGCTGGCCGTGGCCGACGTGGCCGCGTCGAAGCGCGCTCGCATGACCTACAACCGTCCCACCCGCGGGGGTGACCTCAACGCCGGCGAACTCGGCAACAAAGGCTCTGGGCAAGGCTCTTGCCAGGAAAGGACCTTCAAGGGTACCTATTTTCGCTGCGGCCAGCCCCGGCCACATGGCGAACGCGTGCCCCATGGGGGGACGTGTAGGCCAAGGCCCCACACCCGTAGTGTGAGGGACCAAATGGCGGAGCCCTTTCCCCTTATGTCAAAGGGACATAACGGGGCTGCACCAGGGGGTGCAAGGCTGAGGAGCAGCCTAAGGAACTAAGGGCCAGGGGGCCCAAGGAGGAGCCCTAGGGGCCATTAGCTATTGGTGCTTTTGTGTATTTTTGCAAGAAATGGTTATTATGTGATGATAAGTTGCCTATGGAAGTGCTTGTCATTTTTACTTCAACCTTGGGCTCAAGGATGGTCTGCACTATGATATGGGCAACCAGCAACAACCAGTGCAAAACAAAGAAGAAGAAGAAGAAGAAGAAGAACAAAAAAAAAAAGGGTGAGAAAAATCGGGCCGAAAGGCTCATACACCTTAATACGAAATCAAGCAACTCCAGGATGAGGATACTGCGCTCCCACTCCCGCAGCCACAAATTCAACTCCCGCCACAGGCGGAACGGGCGGGAGATGAAGCCGAGACCCAGGAACAAGGGCAGAGGCAGCAACAGAGGGAGCCGACGGGGCCGGACTCTGATGAGGGACAGTTGCAGCCGGCGGCGGGCCCACAGGAAGTTCAGCCTGTCGAGGAGCAGCACGTGCCACGACAGCGTGAGAGCTGCCTTGGGTCAGGGCGGCCCTCTCCTCACGCACCGCAGTTGACACCGCCTGCTTCAGATCCGCCATCCTCACGGGCGGATCGTACGCCCCACCACCTCCGTGACCGCGGGGACCCCACCAGCCACCGCGGCCGCCGTGGTTCGCGTGCCACTGGGCCTGGTGATGCGGGCGACGGGGAGAATTGCGCCGGCGCTGATAGGATTGACGATCGTGTTGGGGAGCGGGAGAATGAGGGCGAGATGGGCGCCGGCTGGGTGACGGCGGGCGAGACTGCCGCGCCACACGAGCAGTCGGTGGCACAACAGATGCAGCCAGACCCCCAACCGGGGGCCCAACCAACGGGGCCGGGCCGCCAGTGGTGGCGGGCGCCGCCTGCGGGGACGAGACGGAGGCAGGAGCCGGCAACTCAGGCGCGGCGACAAGTCCCGCAGGCAAGGGTGCCGAGGGGTCGGCGACAGCCTCCGGCGGTGCTGCAGGGGACGCTTGGGGTTCAGCCTGCACAGTCGGGGCAGATGGAACAGCAGCAGCAGTTGCAGGAGTCTGAGCGACTACAGTCGCAATTGAACCAGGCGCGTCCGCGACAAGGAGAGCCGCGGGTCTGGATTGAGGAAGCTTTTCAGAGGATGTTGTCGAGGGCTTCGGAGCCGGAGGCAGAGGGGACTTCGTCGCCGTGGTCTCCCTTTCGGGCTCATACTGATGCCTGGCGACCATTGCCAGCCAGGAGGCAGCGAGCTCTGACGTCGGCTCAGGAGCGCCGACAATCACCATCGCGTGGACGAGGGGCTCAGGGAGAGAGGAGCCATACAGTTAGCGGAGCAGGTGGAGGACTGGAGAACGGGTATCAGGCGGCAGGGCGTCGGGCTTTAATGGCTCTGGTAGCAGCTAATGAAGTCGAGGAGAGAAATGACCCCTCTTATACCGTGGAAGAACAGCTAGAGAGTGAAAACGAACAAGGGGATGGAGCAGAGATAACACGGGTAGGAACAGGAAGGAGAGGACCAGGTGCAGCCAGTTTACCCACGGCACAAACAGAGGAGCAAGTAGGGCCGTCCGTTGCTGATCCAACGGCTGGGAATCCAACTCGGCAGCAATCAGCGCGATCGAGCCGCGCTCGAAGAAAATCGGACCGCGTCATTTCGCCATGCGTCAGTCGCGAACCCGCAGCTGCCCCAGTATTTCTCGCCAGAGGAGTTGGCAGAGAGGAGCGACATGTTCGCTGACATCGCGAACTGGGATATTTCTGCCCTCTGCGATAGTCGACAACCGCCACTGTCAAGACGATTACCGCCAAACTTGTGCCAGCTATTTTCGCTGGCACTCCTGTCACCCCTACACCACCTCTCGCGAAACCCAGATTCTTAGGCTGGCTGGCGACTACTTCTTTTCCTCCCGCGTCTAACCCTTCGCCAAGCTTCGCCAAAGCACCCAAACTGGCCGCAAATCAAGGCCCGGCTCTGGGCTTTCCAGCGTGGCGAGTGGATGCAGCTCTACCAAGATGCAGTAAACGCGGTCAACACCCCTCCACCCCCGCGTCACCAACCCGACGTGACAGGTGTATTGAGTCGAGCGGAAGGGTTGGCCAAACGTGGCAGTCTGCGCCGAGCCGTGCTGGCGCTTGAGTCAACACCTGTCCGCACGCCAAGTGCAGAAATCCTGGCCGAACTCCGACAGAAACACCCGCCAGCAGGGACGGAGTCGCCGACATGGCAAGCAACCAACACCCGTCCCCTAGGCATTTCACACGCTGAATTTGCGAAGCTTCTTGGGCGATGCGATAATGGCGTGGGGGTCGGACCATCAGGCACCACATTTGAGCATCTCCGCGACGCGGCAATAATCAATGCATCTGTCTCCACCCATCTGCACGCCCTGGTAAACACAATTTTGGGTGGAAACCTCCCAGCCTCGGTAGCGGACCTGCTGACAGCATCTCGACTCATCGCCCTGGCCAGACTTGGAGGA